CATTAGTCAAAACAACCTAGATCTTTCTAAACTTCAGTAAAAGGAACTTATTCAAAAAATTCAAAACTATAAAACTTTTTATTATATATTGTTTAATGAAAACTTATTCTATCTTGATATTATACTTAAAAAACTTATACTCAAATCTCTAATTCAAATAATTTAAAACTTTAATATTCTTTATAATTAATATTACAAACTGCTATTAAAATACTTCTTGAAATCAACAAACTATGTTACAAATTATTCTGAAAACTATATTATATAAACTTCTCAAATTGAAAAAAACAACAAGGTCTTAAATCTATTTTCTCTAAACATCTAACTTAAACTAATTATAATAGACAAACTAAATACAACTATTAAATACATATATATTTATATATATATATGAACTATCTAATCAAGTATACTTAAACTTTAACACATGCTTATCTATCAGTTATACTATTAAAAAAATTAATATATAGACTATTCTCTAAATTAAATATAATATCTTTTTTAATTATATTTTAACTATTCAAATTTAGATAAGTTTTGACTATTCTAGTAGTTTAAATCACAGATAAATATGTTTAAACTTTATTTTTAAATGTAGTTTTCTCTTTATTTATACTTAAATTAGTTATATAATTAGCAGTTTAATAGTTAGCTCTAATTACAAATGTTGGCTTTAATTATAGTATTTATATAGAATTATTTTTGTACATAGTAACTCTATGTAATTACTAACTTTAAAAACTACCAATAAATATATGAGCAAGGCCTTATCTTAATACCAAAAAAAAAATTAATAGTTATATATATATATACTTTTATTTTTATTTTAAAAAAGATATAGTATAAGACAATAAAAGACATTCAATCAATACATATAGGTGCTAATTTTTGATGCTTATATAATCAATTCTGATTGGCTAATTTTGTATAATTGATTTTGATTAGTTAAAAAAATATATATGTTTTCTTTTTTTTTATATTAAATGCCAATTTTTTAAACTTATATAAACTTTAATCTTTTATAATTTTTTTAAAACAAAGAATAAAAAAAAATCCTCTAACAAAAATATAGTTTATCCAAAAATCTATCAATTTGTCAAAGGTTTTTTTGATTTAAAAAAGTTAGAACACTTTAAAGTTTTTATTAATAAACATTGAATGTCTTTTTACTGTCTGATACTATATAAAAAAAAGTATATAGATAGTTCTTATTTTATTAATTATTACAAATATAAAATTGGTTTAAACTTTTAAAAATTATATATATAAAATTTTAAATATATAAAAAATTATATAAACTAATAATCTAATATATATTACTTTTGTTGAATTATTGCTTTCAACTTTTTATTATTCAAACATTCAAAATTTGTAGTTTAGTATTTTATAATTACTTACTTCTACATATATTTTGTAAAGAAACTTAATATATAAAAGTTGTAAAATTTAAAAGTATTCAACCAATATTGTTAAAAAACTTCAAGTTTATTTAATAAACTTGCTTATATTTTATAAAAACAAAAACTTACATAAGTTTTATAAAAGAGTATTTTAAAATATATAAATTATTATTTGAAGCATAATAAAGACTTACAATAGAGATGTAAATATACAAAATATCTTAAATTCTATTTATATGATATATATCTAATCAGAATTTAAATTAATATAACAGATTGATACAGATTATTCCAACAAAATAGAAAATCTTATAAAATTAAAAGCTTTAGACACTAACAGCACCTGTTTTCTTAGTAATTATTATTTGTATAATATGTTTTTTTAGATACATTTTTATTAAGTAAATTATATTTTTTATTTTTTTATTTTTATTTTTTTTTGGTATTAAGGTGACTTCTTTGGTCTTTTGATATTTATTAATTATTTATTAGTAATGTGATTCAATAAACTATTACAGATGAGAGTACAATTGGCTATATGTATAACTTTTCTATATTACTTATTTAAGAAATCTGCCTAAAGGTTTTCTACCAATTGCTATATCTAACACCTCTGCTTGGATGTTCTATTTTAAATTTTCTGAACCTGTAATCTGTATTAACTTACTAGGTTATATTCAGATATTCAGATTATCATCTCAACCTTAGAACTAATATATCCTTGAGCTAAACCCTCCAGAGTCTTTTGTATCTATTTTTACAACTGATCTAGATATTGTTATAGCAGAACCAACACTTGTGATCAGGGCTTAACTATTAAACCATTATGTCTTTATAGAGTTTACTTAGATCTCAGCATTTACTTTACAGCATAACTTTAGTATTTTAGTATATTCTTGCCTTTTTATCTGCTTTTTACCAAACTTCTAATTCAGATAGTTCATATAGAACTATAATCAGTCCATTAATATATTAGATCAGCTTGATATTCTTTTTTTCTGATTTATTCTGATAACCTAGTTGATAATACATTTAAGACTTTCAATCTGGAGGTTCTTGCCTATCTGGCTACTATGACTAAATACCAGACCTTGATATCTATTTCACCAAACTAGTCTTTACAGTAGAGCTGTTAAAAATTCAGTTATCTTTCTATTCAGGTTTTTCCAAATAGACTTTTTGTTACCCAATTTTAACAAATTTACACAATCACAAGGACTTATTTAGTATTTGCACTGCCTGATTTGTTGGTTTGCATTTTTTTGTATAACTCAAATATTGCACAGATGCCTATGACCTGCCAGTCATACTGGTGCAACCACTATTACAGGTACTTTAACTTAATTATTAGTAACAGTTGCTGTAATACAAATATTATATAGGTGATTATTCAAATTTTTGCTGTTAATGAGATTTGAACACTCAATCTACTACTTGGAGAGTTGACAATCTGACCACTTCACTAGGTCACTACATTCCAATTATATTTTTTATAAAAAATTAGATTATTATAAATAATATATAATAAAAAATAGCAAATAATATAATAACTATTGTCTAATATATTAGTAATTAAAAGTTAGGTTTCTTAAGCAAATTATGTTATTAGATGCATAGTTTGTAAAATTTACAAATTTTGCATATTGAGAATTTATAATTTATTAATTTTATATATTAAAAACTTTTTGAATTTTTGTATAACAAAGTGATATTACTATGCAAAGTCTATTAACTATCTTTTAAACTAACTAATTTAGTAAACAAATTTGTTCACTAAAATTAGAAAAAGAATTTTAATGCAGTAAAAAAATTTTATAAAAATCTTTGTTCAAATTGGCTAAAATAATTCTTGAAAGCTCAGATTATATAACAGACAACTCTATTTTAGTATTATATATGCTATAAAATATAAACAATATTGTATTTTTGTACAACTTTATTTTGTGCCTTTAAAATCATAAATTATTTTATGCAAACCTAAAATTTTAGGCTTTTTAGGCAGATTCAATCTCTACATTCTTAATCGAAATTAATAATATAATTATTAATTGTACAATTTTTATTTAAAACCAGAATTTCAATAGCATTAAATCAAAATTTTAGAGATATTAGTTAATTAATATTTTGTAAGCTAAAATTTAATGCTTTTAAGTTTTAAGTTTTAAACTAATTTGTATAATGGTAGCTTTAATATCATTATAAATTAATTAATAAACTGATAAATTAAATATTTTAGTAATAAATAAAATTGGTATACTAATAAAATAAATAAATTTTTTTTTTAAAAAAAAATTTAATTTTTATTTAAATTTTTTTTCATTCATTTTTGGTCTATATGACTGCTTTGCCTACCTATCTATTCATCAAATTATTGTTTTATTCACTTAACAATTTCTTGTTTTTAAGATGAAACCTAAAAAATCAATTTCAACTGCTGTTGCAACAAAGTAACACATTATATGATAGGCACTAAACCTTACTTGTGTTTAGTATTTTGTGATCCATATTTAACTAATTAATGCTTGCCAGCCAAGAACACTACTGACATGCTTCTCAATAATCTTTTTATATTGCAAGATGATTTTCTAATACCAAATATTGATCTGAAAGCTTAAAATGTTTTGTGATTTTTGATTGATTCTTTTTTTTTTTTAAATGCTTTGTAACTTTTGAATGATCTCTTAATTAAACTTTGCAATTATCATTTGCAAAGTTAATAAGATCCCAAACAAGCTTATTGCAAAATTGTTTATGCTCTTGTATGAATTCTAAAATTCTTGTAATAAGATAAGTATTAATAATGGCAGTGTCTAATAGTCAAAAAAAAACAGCATCCAATTTTATCAAATAGTTTGTTAAGTATCATAATAGGATCACAATTGGTCAGTAATATCTATACTATTCATATGATTATAATCACTTTTTTTAAATGATTGCAATCGATTATAATCGATATAAGTCGATTACGATTACCCTGTAGCTTGTAATCGATTTTAATCTTTTTTAAAAATTTCCTGATGGCCTAAAAATCTGGTTTGTTCTTCGAAAACATTATTAAATTTTGAGTTCTCAATTATAACAGAAAATTAGACATATATAATTAAAATAGAAAATTGTATGTTGACAAATAAAGAACGTTCCATTCCAACAATATTTAAAATAACATGGAAATTAAACCAATTTTTTTGTAATTATCTAATGCAGTTTGTCTTAGTAAAATTTTGAACTATTAACATTCTTTCAATATAGCAAGCTGTCTCAACTTTGTCCTGAATGTATAATAATACGTAGTCGGGAGTGATGTTTTTAGATTTTTATTATCTATTTGAAATACTGTCGGTTCAATAGAGATTGTACCCAGATAGGAAGTATTATATGATTACAGTAAATTACCCAGTAATTTAATCATACCTGGGAGGAGATTTTCTCAATAGGGGTTCAATAAATTATCAGGATAATTAAACTATTAATTACATTACATGGCATATAAAATAATTGATGATTTCATTCTCGAATAAATTATGTTGTAAAAACAAAAAAATGGAAATAAAAAAAGGTGGCGTGCTAAATTTTTTTTCTAGATAGTACAGATTGAGTATTCTATTCTTTTTTACTCAAATCATACAAAGGTAGACTGATTGGTGAGAGATCAGGTGTTAATAATACCGCTGCTAGGCAGTAGAATACCGTCATGGAGGTGATAACTGTCATTTATTAAAAAAAGTTTTTTTTTAGATGATGGAATATTTATTTTAATTGAAAAACTTAAAAAACTCACGTTCGAAAATAGCACCAACTTTAAGAAATATAGTATTAGTCGGAGTAAGATGATAAATAGTATCAGACGCAAATGCTATAGTTAAAGCAACAAAGGCACCCAAGACTCCAGCATTGGTGCGAAGACAGGCCAATGTGAAAATGAACGTGACTGTTGCAAGAGATCATATGTATTAGTTACTTTTATATATATGATACATATTATATATATAAACAATACTTACATATTAACCATGAAGCATTATATATAGCAAGAGCATTGTGATATTGGTTAAAAAGATCGTAATCAGTTGCTGCATAGATACCACCAGGAGTATAACCACAGTTTTGAGTACATAATCCAGTTGAGTCTATAGTGGCATTTCGGCTAACGGGCATGAATCCATAAGCTTCTTGAATACCCTATTTTAATTAAATAGATCAAGTTGCATTTTAAGAATCACGTAAATTATGTGGGATTGTGTGATTTGTCGAAATAAAACATACAAATCCTGGTATATAGATAGCTCCTAAAGATGCCCAGAAACCACCAAAGGCGGAGAATCCGGTGCCCCCGAAAGTGTTACCAACTCTATATTCCCACATTCCGCAAGCAAATTGAACAACACCGCCGGTGAAGAGCGAAACACCGACTAAAACATTTGGCACATTAATTCCTAAAACACCTAGACCATAGAGAGAAGCAATAAAAGTTGACATAGCAAAAGCGGAGAGACCTATTTTATTAAATGTATGGTAAGTCGGTTATTCATAAGTAATTTCTAGTCGTAACGAATAATAAATGCAAATTGAACGTTTACCAAGTGGTGTTGGGTTTCCTAATTTTGGAGGAGCTGGTCTGGACATTGTAGATCTTCGAGAGATCCTTTCACCTCTAGACGATAAGTCTTTTAAGTCTTGAAGATAAATTGACGTTGTTTCTGGCATTATGTTAAAGATTGAATGATATGAATAAAGAAAAAAACTGGATCCTAGGGTAATCGGTCGTTAAGGTTATTGTCAATATTCGTTCGTTTTATCAATTAATTGTTTAATCTAATTAAACAATAAGTTGATATAAGTAAAAAAATTTAGCCGCGTTGGGATTTTAAATTCGAAACATGACAAACGGAATCTTTTTATAATTTCTTTGGTTATGATTAACGGCATATAGAAACACCTGCTTTTGAAATTCATGGACAGAATTATATCCTTTAATCTTGAAAGTCATTAAAAAAAAAGTTACACGGCGCATGATAAGATATATTCATCTATGTGATTCGAGACAATATATGAAAATATAAAGCGTTGATCGCCTGGGAATCGTAATTTAGAAAATCCGAAAATCTTGCAAAAAGAAAGGGCAGGATTGACCGTTTGTGATTTACTATTTAAGAGCCTTTCTAAAAATTGGATGATAAATAATTATATCCCCACATCTAAAGCATCTAAATACGAACAATTAAGATCATTGAGGATTTCCCCACATAAACTTTGATGATCTAAAAAGAATTTCACATGCACATATAGTTTAAGCACAAAGATGTTATTTAGAGGTACATAGTATAGTTAACTACATATGAAAGTGATTATAAATAATAAGTAATGCTTTCTATGTGAAAACAACGAAAAAGAATACTTTAAGGGGTATAATTAAAAATAGTACGGTAATACAGACTAGATACGCGGAGATTTAGTGAATTTACATACTATTTGCAAAATAATTACGGAAAACGAATAAAATGAATATAATGAAGAATATTAACGGTAAATGATTTTTTTATTGGCAAGTTATTAATGGCCGTATCGTCGCGAAATAACGCCCCGGGCGTTATTTTGAGACACATTGCTTGAAGAGAGCTAATAATTAATTTAGCCGAAGACGATTTTCATTCGTTTGAATTAATAATTAGCTCTCTTCAAGCAATGTGTTCCGAAATAACGCTTCAGGGCGTTATTTCGCGACGATACAGTAAATTTAGAGACTTGTTAATGCCACCCTCTACATAACTCTAATTGACCTTTAACCTTCCGGAAATCTATGAAAAATGTTTATTTTAACTGCTAACAAATTAATCACGAATTTGCACTGTTCCTAAATACTGTGTAGAATTTCAGAATTTTGGACTAATTAAGGTTATATACGGGGTGGCGTTAACAAAAGTGATTTAAATTACATCATTATCTTATGCACTATCTATGATGGAAAAGCAAGCTACCTTCTTTAAAGTTCAAATATTCGGAAGCTTAATGTTTGAATCTTGAATTTTAGAAAGATAACTTGCTTTTCTCTTATGAGATAGTGTAATTTAATTTTGAACTTTTAATTAATAATTCAAAAGCTTAGCAATTCTAATCGATTGCCACCAGTTATAATCGAGTCAATCTATACAGTCATATACTAAATGCACAAAATGTTTTGATGAAATAGAAATGTTGTGCTAACTTATTATAAGTTAGCTTTCATATCTACCGGTAACTAACACCTACCGATAGCTATCGGAGGAACTTAGCTATTTGGGACATTTCATATCACTAGTCCGGAATTCTGTCTGTCGGGATTTTGACCCGCACCCGACAGGTCATAACCCGACAAAAAAATCCCGACAATTAAAAATCCCGGCAGCCAGAATTTTTAGGTAGAAAATCCCGAGTATGGGATATGTTTAAAGCGAAATAGACTCTTATAATTTAATTAATTTTAGGGTTAAGTCACTTTGGATAAGGGTTAAGATATGGTTTGATATGGCCTATGATATTTTTTTTAATTGTCGGGATTCTGTCAGTCGGGATTTTGACCAAAACCCACTATTATAAAACATAAATTTTGACCTTTATATAGTCAACTTTTATAACCACCAAATTTTTGTTTCCCGACCTGGTGATTATATCGAGGTCTGACTGCACTAAATCAATCGATAGATAAAAAAAAAAAAAATAAATAATAAAAATAAATAATAATACTAATAATAAATTTCAAAATTTGTAAGATTAAGTTGCTAAAGAAAAGAAGAAATTCTAATTATATTATTGTGTTATATAAATTGTATTTTCTTGTTACTATTGTTCGCGTTTTTATTAGTTACTTTTTCTTCATTATACTAAACTTTTCGAAAAATTAATTTTGTTAAAATAGAAATTCAATCATTTGTCCATTAACGCTATAAATAATCGTGTATCCATAAATATTTATAAATTGCTAATATTAATGAGAAACTGATTGTCTAAAATAGAACAGGTAGAACGCGTGCACTTCGTTGCAGTGAATTTATAAAATACGAGAGATGGCATTTTGAACCATACTATGCGCACATGACTTAAATATAACTGATTGCATGTTCACATTTTTCAATTTACTATTGGGCAGTGAGATTATTATCATGTATGTAGTATGAGCCTTAATTGTGCATTACACATATGCATAACTGCGGTATGGAATATGAAAAATTTTGATTAATAAAATAATAATGAAATGATTAATATTTCCAAGTTAGGGTACATCACTATAATAAATTTCTATGTCTAATGAGATACGTCAAAGTGAAGATAGTTAGACGCGTTATCAATCTTGATTGAAGGTTAACATTTGATTTATTAATGTGTAATTTAGGGAAATCAAATACTTAGATTCGCCGCGTATTCCCGCGACCTAAAAGGAAATTTTGTAACGTGAGATTCAGAAATCAAAAAACCACCTTTTAAGTTCTAATGAAAAAAATCCATCGCAGAATTTTATCATATGCTATGCCCTACTCTGTCTTTTTGGGTTTGTATTACCCGCAAAATAAAGGCGCCTAAAATGTATTCAGGATTATTTGTGCAAAGAACAAACACTTGAGAAAAATGGCGTAAAAAATCTCCGAATTTGCAGAGTTCGCGTCCGCCAGGCTTGGTAGAACCCGAAATATATACAAATAGGCAAGGTTTATGTCAAGAAAATCCCGGGCTGAAGATCACTTGCAACCCTACTCGGATCCAATAAAATCACAGGATCTCGTGTAACAAAAACGCGAAAAAAACATAACTTGTAAATAACACAAAAATTTACTAAGATAACCAAAAAGTTTTTAGAATGAAATTTTACTTATATAATACAATTGTTAATGTTAGATATATAGAGAATTTTTGAAATACTATGACCCATATTTTTTTGGCCAGAAACTTGAGATTTTCTTAACATAAGAATACCTTTATGTAGATCTTTCTTTTAATGTTACACGATTCATAAATTTTTTTATATAATTTTAAAGTGTTTTTAACATTTTGTATTACTCAATTGCACTAATAGCCAAGTGTTAATAAGTTACTAAGAAAATTTGAAGCTTTTATATTATAGAAAACAATATTTATTAATTTTTTTTGAATTTCAAAATGTAGTTTTTTTATTCAAAATGATAGGTGTCAAAAATTTTTTAAATATAAGAAAACTAATTTGAAAAATATTATCAATTAGATGATAAAATATAGTAAAAAATTTAGCTTAAAGGTTTGATAAAAGAAAACTAAACTAAAAACACAATATTTTGTAATTTTTGTTATATTAAAAAAATTTTACTAATAAAAAATAAAAAAATTAAGTAAACATTATAGAAAAAAAACAGAAAAAATAAATAAATTAAAAATAATTTTGAACTTATTAAAAATTCTTTATAATAAAAAAGTTAAAAAAAAGCAAAAGCTGATTTATAATTTTTTTTTCTTTTTTGATAATTTTGTCAAAATCTTTATATGTCTATACATATTTTTTGAATAATGTTTTTAATATTTAAGATTATTGCATCTCAATCTTTTTTAATTTATACTTTTAAAAGTAGAGTCCAATGTAGATCATTTTCATATGATTTTGATGATAAATTTTTTTTATTTTTAATATTTTAAAAAATTTTATTAAGTTAATCATTTTAGATTATTAAGTAAAGTTTGTAGA